ATGATTTGTACAAATGCATTGTAGGAGAGGGAAGACATGACAACATTTGCTCATCGGGTATGATAGTATAACACTAGTGATGATTTGCGGATCGACTGAGGAATTTATTTAGACTGTTTTTTTGTTAATTATGAACGATATCAATTACTTTGAAACATTATTTAGCATCATTTAAAACGAGTGCAATTGTTATTCACTCATTTACTCGTCATCAATTTGCATATGTGAACAAGGATGTAATGAGAATTGTCGCGCTAAAGATAGTCTACTTGGTGGAGGACCGAATACTGTGTGATTTGACCTAATTAGAACCCCGGCCTCTTACCCAACAAATTTCGAATTATACATTATCAAATATGATTAGCCTAGTCAATAGTTCAATTCTCTTTGGGTTCAATTCTAAAGTCATTTGAAAGGCAATTTTTTGACCCACACAATTACTGAAGAAATGGGAATATATACACTAAACGGAAATCAAAAGTATTTGCTTTTATTTTTTGGCAATTGAACTAAAAATTTAAAGCAATTAAAATTGTATAATGTATTGTCTTTAGAGATTAGAAGTACCAAATATACCTCAGTGTTTATTTAACTACTAGTTTAAACTATAAATAGGGTAAATGGCAAATAGGCCAATGACAAATGCACTTAATTAAAAGAGGGACATTCAACTTTTTTCGTTTTTCAAATAAATCCACTCAATTCAAATTTATTTGCAAATAAGGAAAATCTCTTTATATATATACCAAAATTACCCTAATTCATTGAAACCCAATTCAACTCCAATTTCATAATCTACACCCCAATTTAGCCCAATTTCATCAATTAAGCAATTTTAACCATACTTTCAATTTTGACCCCAATTTTGACCCGCCACCACCGGAGACCGCCGGCCGCCGCCGTTGACCGGCGTTGATTTTTTTTTTCCCAGAATTTTATTTCCGGCGTTGACTTTTTTTTTATTTTTTTATTTTTATAATTATGTTTTTTCTTAAAAAAATATTTTAATTAATATTACTGTCTTAGCTGCTAAATTACTGTCTCCGGCAGTTATTTAACTGTCGGAGACAGTAATTTAATTGTTAATTGAATTTTTTTTCCTTCAAAAATATTTTAATTAATATTACTGTTTTCGTTGCTAAATTACTGTCTCCAACACTAATGACAGTAATTTAACAATAATTTAACTGTTTCCTTCAAAAATATTTTAATTAATATTACTGTTTTCGTTGCTAAATTACTGTCTCCAACAGTAATTTAACTGTCTTAGACAATAATATTAACAATATTATTGTTCGGGAAAATAATATTCATAATATTATTGTCTGAGACAGTAATTTAGTAGCCAAGACAGTAATATTAATTAAAATATTTTTTTTCTAAGGAAAAAAAATTCAAAAAAAAAAGGTCAACGTTGGTTGACCGGCCGGAAAAAAATTTCAGGAAAAAAAAAAGTTTTCTAAAAAGAAAAAAAAAAAAGTCAACGCCGGAGACCGTCGGAATCTGATCGGAAAGAAAAACATTTCAGAAAAAAAAATTGTTTTCTAAAAAAAAAAATTGGGGGTTAATGTGACATATTTGTTTAAATCCGGGGTCAATGTGTAATATTAAGGAAGTTAGAGCATAATTGGTGAATTGATAAGAATTATATTATGGAGGGTATTTTATACTAAAGACATGGGATGGGTTTAATTGAGAGAATGTATTTTTTGTGGACCAAAATACATTTAAGTCTCATATGATGAGCCTTTTTGTCATTCGTCTTATGAAGTGCTAACCCTTTGAGCTATACCTATATTACGAGAATATCATTCTTGTTGTGCGCAATTATAATTGTCCTCTCAAATTAACGATCTTCAAAACCCCAAACATGATCTATTAAATGTCTAAATTGCCCCTACATGAAAAGAAAAGAAAATAATATACAAATTTACCCCGAGATATGTCTATATTACAAAATAACTTCTATAAAATTATCTTTGTCCCCTTCAACTAACAACCAAATAGAAACTTTAGCACAATTCTCTAAGATCGTATATGTGATGATTATTTTTACAAAAAGAAAATATAAAAAAAGAAAAAAGAAAAATGAGCAACAAAGTTAGACGAATATAATATGTTTTATTTATTTATTTTCTTAAGAAAAATGTTGTCTAGACTAATTTTAAATATGTTGATATTATATGATAGAGGATAAATAAATGAAGTGAAGAAAAATTTAGCCGTTTAACGTTTATAAAAGAAACAAATATAAATAAATTTGAAGTATTCTAAAAAAAAATATTAAAACTACCCCGTATTAAATGAAAAACTTACAATTACAACCTGAAACGGTATAAGGGTAAAACTAAATGAAAATATTTGAACAAATGTTCTTAAAATTTAAAGATTTTGTTGTAATATACCTCGAGAGGATAACTGTAATTTCACAAAATAGTAGAAATTTTTCATAATTTAGGAATATCTCATGAGATGTTTACTATTTAATTGAATTTAATAAATATACACTGGTGTATATTTACGTATCAAACCCTTTATTTTATTAGAACTCTATTGAAATAAGGGTAAATTACACACACCCTGAGGTAAGCTTAAATAACTGTAAGGTCCATATGGTATCGATAATTACACTTAGCCACCTGAAACGTAGTCAGAAACTCTAATGGGATAATGAATTGGATACACAAATATGACTCCATTTCTTTAAAAAAAAATTTGCATCAAAATTAAAACTAAATTAAATTTTTGAAATTACAAATTTCTAATAAAAATAAATAAAAATAAATCACTGTATTCAGAAAAATCATAATTATACATTTATAATATAAATTTTTTTTATACATTTATAGAATTTAGCTTGGTTGTACTATATGTCAATGAATACAAGAGTATCTCCGACCGGTCACTATATCACCTGTCTGTTGAATTTGTAAGAGCATCTCCGACCAGTCGCTAGATCGCCCTTTTTTATCTAATTAAGGTGTTTTTAGCCTCTCATCCGAAATTCATATATCACCATTACACCTAAAATTATAGAGATTTGGTTTTAG